AGTCCTTTTAGAATGTTCCAGTCGGACGCCCCATCTATTTCGCCCATATCCATCCACGAGGAGACTTGCCCCTGTTGCGAAGCTCAGCCAGGTGCCTGCGAATGGAATTTGAGTTCTACCTTTTCCCCCAGGTAAGTTATGCGCTTAGCCATTCGTTGATGTGTTGATCCAATGGTATAGACGATAAAGCCACATCTCTTCTTCCTCCGTCCACCCTCGCACCCCTAGATCTATTTATGGAAAAAAGCTATTGTTAACTTTGGCATCTTCCTGTGGTAATTTAAGGACTGGATTTACGACATTATTTTTACGTACGTGAACGATTGCTACCTCCCGAAGCTTCGCCAGTCTCCTATACATGACCAGTATCAGCAAACAGCTATGTGAATAAATACAGCTAAGGTATTGAGCGATACTTACCGGTTGATCATTACCGCTTGCCATTCGACTGTTATTATCCTTATATAAACCCTAATCCTACACACAAGATCTTAACGACTTAGACCAATTAGCCTTCCCCGAGCTGTGGTGTTACTTAAGGGGCATCATACTCCGGAAGCTGCGTATTCAACTAACTCATAAAGATTCGCTGCTACCTTCCAACGTTAGGTCCAGCACGGGTTTTCGACAGCAATTAATAAATCTTCATGATACTTTGATATCCTGACGCTAATTGTGAAGTAATCGAGCAAGGCCATGCGCTAAATATATAATCTATCCCTCTCGTGGTCATGCCTATTGTACTGGAAACATCATCTATTCCTTTAAACCCTCGAACAAAGCCCCTTTGTATTGCAACAAGATATAAATATACCAGCGTTCTAGGTTTGGCAAGTGAACACCATAAAGAGAACCAGACCATCATCCTCGGGCGCCTTTCTATTCTTCTTTTTCCCCACAAGAAAGATCCAAATACCTCCCCATATAAACCACCATTTCTTGTCAAAAGGAATCAATCCTTCGTCCTTTTTTCTGTCGTATGCGATGAAGATATCCCTTTTGTGGTCTGGGAGGATGACATTGGCCATTGTCGATTGTCAATTCATACCCTCCGTCTTTATCATGAGCGGTTGGCCTTTCGAGCAACAAAATGAGACAACACCAAAACCCATAGTAACAACTACTTTCTTCTCTAGCGACATTTAGCCCTTTTTTCTCTCTCTCTTAAAAAAAGTGTCCCACCAAATTTACTGTATTGATTCACTCTATTTCTGAGTGAGCCGTATCTCTAGAAGACTGAGAACACTGAATTCCTTCTACGGAATGGACAGCTAGGCGGGAGAAATGCTGAGAGGAACAGCTCGTCATTGAACAAAATTTCCTTCCATCGGTGGTAAATATATTGCTCCTTTGAGAATTGATGACAAAGGCGGCGCCTAGTCACACTTATCAAAGCGGAGTGCTGCGCCTGTTGCGACTTCGCAGCAGGACTCGGATCACCCTCCTCCACTAAACCCCTGCTATAGCATCCTCTTACTTGAGAAAGAAACGAAAAAGAATTAAAAAGAGAACATCGTTTCTGAACCTTCACCAACAACTTCCTATTTTTCTCCAACCGTTCGAGATTACATGCCTCCATTGCAATACTCTCTGATGAGAACACTATAATCATGCAATCCCCAAATTAAGTAGTTACTAGAAGCAAAACAAGGAAAAACAGTATGATGGGCCTGCAGGGAACGTAAAATATGACGCACAAACCATATGCATGCATTAAAGGTATAATATACATAAGGGGATAACCAGTGTTCGATATTATGAAGAAGGGGGAAAACGTCCATAACACTAAAATGAAAACGCAGTCTTTTAAGGCAAATTCGTATTAATGCCGGATAACGGCGTTCAAGGATCGGGTATGAAGAGGCCAAAAAGTAAATAGATGAATAGAGATTGATAAAACCAAAAAACCAACTAGAGAAATCCAGAAACGCCTGGTGTGAGAAAGTAAATATATACGGATATATAGGAAGAAGGAAAAGAAGGGAAAATTATACGTAATCATTTTTTGAAAAACATTCCCTCAATCCCTGTTGCATAAACGGTCGCTCATGCGTTATCGTCGACAAACCCCACGAATGCCCGTCGCACGAACACGGACCAAAGACTATCGCGAGACCGCGTTATCGGAGGTGATGCTTCCATCCCCAAGCACAAATAATTCAATGACGGACCTTGATTCTGATTCCCAGGGGACCCATTTCTCTTTTCCTCTGGCGGCG